GGCATTTTCCCATATCCTAAGCTAGTCACCAACGCATATTCCATCATCCCAAAACGCAGTGGTTTTCTATCCACCACAAGCAAATTTCTTGCTTTTTTTTTTTGCATTTTACTAAGTGCAGCAACATATAATGCACTCCTTGCCCCCAAAACGCCTTTTTCCAATTTTTTTTCGATTTTAAAAAACTGAGCGAAACAAGTCTCTTTGAATAATTATTTACCATTCCTCAATCCACCTAAAATCCCCTTTATTATGTCAAAAACATTCCAACTCGACCTGACCGTCACCCTTACAGGGAAGTACAGTACATTATTGCTTACAATGTCTAACTCATAGTCTTTGTAGTTTACGGTCCGCACAGTCTGCACAATCGACATAAAAAAAATATCAGCAACAAAAATAAACCAAAACAACTAATAAACAAAATATCAGCAACAAAAATAAACCGAAACAACTAATAAATAAAATATCAGCAACAAAAAATTACCTCTGTGGTCGCTTAAGCGATTTCAGATCGCTTAAGAGATCTTGATTCTGCCTCGTGCAAGATCTCTTAACCAATCTGAAATCGTTTAAGCGACCAAGAGTAAACTGAATGAATCGCTTAAGTGATACAAAAGATCGCTTAAGCGATCTTAGATCTATGCAGATGATTCTGCCTGGGACAAGATCGCTTAAGCGACCTGGAATCGATTAAGCGACCAACAGTAAAGATGAATCGTTTTAGTGATACAAAAGATCGCTTAAGCAATCTTAGATCTGGGAAGTAATCTGACTCGGACAAGATCGCTTAAGAGATCTGGAATCGCTTAAGCGACCAAGAGTAAAGATGAATCGCTTAAGTGATACAAAAGATCGCTTAAGCGATCTTAGATCTGGGCAGATGTTGATTCTGCCTCGGACAAGATCGCTTAAGCGATCTAGAATCGCTTAAGCGACCATGAGTTAAAGAGATGAATCGCTTAAGCGATACAAATGATCACTTAAGCGACAGTACAGAGTAATACTCCCAAAACAAATACGTACCCTTTCTTCGCCAGCCTCTTCCTCCTCGCCGAACTCCTTCTCCTTGCCTGAATTCTTTCTGGCCTTCTCCTCTTCAGAACCGTTTTGCGATTCTTCTCCCTGTTGTTGTGCCGCTATCATCTTCTCTGCCTGCGGACCACTTTCATTGATCGGATGATCCACCTGAGTAGCCATTGAACTGCTTGTGCCACCGGACTCTAGGATTCGAAGTGGCGTTGGGTTTTCCTCCTCATTGTGAATGTCAACCATGGTTTAGGATTGAATTTGGTGTGAAAATTTGCAGTTTCGATTGTGAATGTGGACTGTATCACCAAAAATCACAGAAATTCTGTTTAGGGTTCAAGAAATCGATTTTAGGATTGAATTTGGTGTGAAATGATCAAAAATCTGGACTGTATCACCGAAAATCACAGAGATTCCATTTAGGGTTCAAGAAATCGATTTTAGGATTGAATTTGGTGTGAAACGATCGGAAATCTGGACTGTATCGTCAGAAATCATAGAGATTCCGTTTAGGGTTCAAGAAATCGATTTTAGGATTGAATTTGGTGTGAAACGATCAAAAATCTAGACTGTATCGTTGGAAATTGCAGAGATTCCATTTAGGGTTTAAGAAATCGATTTTAGGATTGAATATGGTGTGAAAACTTGCAGTTTTGATCAGAAATCGCACAGTCTCTATTTAGGGTTCAAGAAATCGATTTTTGCCCTAATTAGTTTCGATTAAGCGATTTGAATGGGTGAGGCTCTTTTTTAAATTTCAAATTTTAAAAAACTTTCATTAATGATGATTTTGCCCACATATGTTTTAATCTTTTCATTTAAACCCATTTTACACGTTTAATGAATCCTAATTGTGCCACATCAACTTCTCTAAATTAAAAAAAAAAATGAAAAACATTTTCAAGGCCATTTTGTTAAATGGAAACTTGGGATGGCCGGGGAGTTAAATTTTCTCGTTCTCTTCTTACTCAGCTTCGTTTATCGCCGATGGCCAACCTCCATTCATCTTTAAGAGTCTGAGATTTCCAGCTTCTTTCTTTTCCAGTTCTCCTCGTCATGCCTAAAAATTGTCGATTGACCAGCCGATTTAAGCCAATCATCTTCAACCTTTGTTCATTTGCGAGATTGGGTGCTTGCTATCTTGTAAGTTGTAAACTCTAGGCGCTTGTTGTCTTGTATAGCTCCTACTACCCCCATCCCGAGCAGCTTTTGTATTTTAATCTCTGTATTTTTTTTGGGGCTGTTTTTTTGGTTTTTTTTTCTTTGACATTATATTTGTTTTATGGGTTTCTTGATTTTTATTTATTTTAGGTGATGGAATTCTTCGAGTTTTGAAAGTGCTGGATAGGTTTTATTATTACTTGTTAAGTGTGTTGTTATGGTGAAATGGTGGTGGTGTTTTGTGGTGGTTGCGGGTGATGATTTTTACATGGTGGTGGAGGTGGCTTTGGTGTGGGCCTGTGATGCCGATGAGGTAGGTCTTGTGGCTTTGATTTGTTGGATGTTGTGTTAATTTGGTGTTGAGTTATTGCCTTGGTTTTTAATTAAGGGCTGTAATGGTGGTTTGCTTATATTGCTAGGGAAGGGTGGGGTTGGGAAAAAGATATATAGAAGAATTTTTTTTATCTGAAGTCAAGATGAATAAAAGGGAATGAAGGCGGATGCACAAAGGTGATTTTATTTAATGGTTTGATTTGCACATCGGTAGAAGTGAATTAAGATGAGACCTTTTTATCTTGGAGTTGGAAATAATGCAGTTTTATTGGTCAAATCAAAATTTATTAGCATTGATCCTTAGCCACCAGTCTCTTCACGTGAATGCCTAGATGGCAAAGGTGTTGTTGCTGGATTTCAAATATGTAGGGATGCATTAATAAGTTTGTAGGGATGTTTTTGCTAGAATCCAAACCTTTAAGGACTCATGTGTAATTGTTGGTATCACGGTCTGACCAGTCGGTCAAACTGGTCAACCTAGGAACGGGACCCTTGAATGGGTCTAGGCCTGGTCTGGTTTTCAGAATGTTGATCTGCTATTGAATGATAAAATCTTGACCCAACAATTTCACCAGCCATTTTTGCTGTGTGGAAGTTCCGATTTTTGTTCAAGAAGAAATTTAAGCTCCTCTGATATGTTTTAAGTATAAAAGTTTGCGTAAACACATATGACCTCTACTTTATAACAACTTTAACTAGTGCCAATAATTTCTTCTCGTAGGTGGATAAGTGCAACTCTTTTCCCTTTAATGCATAACTCAAATAAGTTATAGGTTTTTTGTTTTGCATGAAAACAACTCCAATTCCCACCCCAGATGCATCACACTCTATTTCAGACGGCATTGAAGAAATCAAGTAAAGCTAATATGGGAGGGCTAGCCATGGTTGTTTTGAGGGATTGGAAGGCAACTTATGTTTCTGATGACCATTCAAATGCATTTTTCTTTAGTAGTTTAGTGAGTCGGCCAATAATGGTTCCATAGTCCCTACTAAACTTCCTATTATATCCAATTAGGCCTAGGAAGCTTCTTAAGGACATAAGTGATTTTGGGCTTGGTTATTGCATCATATCATCAATCTTCTTTGGGTATGCTCTTACACCTTGGCCTGAGATCAAATGTCCTAAATAATCTACTTTTGTAAGCCCAAATTTGCACTTGTTTCTTTTAACGTATAACTTATTCTTCTGCAAAACTTCCGGTACTTCATTCAAATGTAGAAGGTATTCTTTCAAAGTCTTGCTACATATAAAGATATCATCAAAGAAGACTGACATTGTCTTCCTCAATTGTTCTCTAAAAACATCATTCATTAAACTCTTGAATGTCGATAGGGTATTGGTTAGGCCAAAAACCATAAGTACAAAGTCATAGTGGCCTTCATGTGTTCTAAAGCCATCTTCTAGATGTCTTCGTTTCTCATTCATATTTGATGATACCCTGATCTTAGGTCTAGTTTAGAAAAAAATGTGAGCTCCTCCTAACTTGTCAATCAACTCATCAATAACAAGTATGGGGAATTTACCTTTAACCGTAGCTTGATTGAGAGCTTGGTAGTTAATGCACATATGCCAACCTCTGTCATTTTTGTGCACTAATAAAACTAGCGAGGGAAAAGGTCTATGACTCATGTGAATAGCCCTAATTTACAGCAACTTCTTATCAATTATTTCAATTTCATCCTTTTGATAATAAGGGTTCCTATAGGGACGAATGCTAATAGGTTGAGTATTAGACTTAAGAATGATCCAGTACTCATATCCTCTAACAGGTGGAAATCATTTTGGTTCGCTAAAGACTCCGAGAATTGCTGTAACAAAGCTTCGATGGAAGGATTTAACTATTCCTCCTTGTCTCTAATTTCTTCTGTTGACATGATTTGTATGCACAACCTTTGTAGAGAATCGATTAATTTTTTTTCCAAACTGCTTTCCCTCTTGCTAATTTTTTGCCAATGGTTTTACCCCTAATAATTCGATATTCTTCCCTTTCCATGAGAATCTCATCTTGAGTTGCTTGAAGTCCCACCAAATTGGTCCCAAAGTATTAAGCTAGTGTATTCCCAAAACTACGTCGCATCCTCCAAGTTCAGTATAAAAACAGTCAATCGGAAATGACTTATCTTGCACTTTCATTGGTAGGGCTCATAAATGAGCTTGTGTGTAAACATGTGTCCCATCTGTAATTTTAACTTTCAAAGAATTAGGTTGGACTTGAGTCTGCTCCTAGATCCGTTGGGCTATTCGGTGGTCTAGGTAATTATGGGTGCTCCTTGTGTCTACTAGAATAACCACCATATGACCCATAAGGGCTTTTAAAAGTCTTATCTTTTTTGGGCTTGAGCTACCAGTGAGCATTGAGGGATCATTCAGGCCCATCCTTCTCCACTTCTCCAACCTCTAGTTTGTTCATTTCTTCTTCCACCATCTCTTCTTATGTTTCTCCCTTCAGCACGAAAACTCTAGGTTGTTTGCACTTATGGCTAATGTGCCACTTCTAGGGCTTTTCAACGAGGGGCTTGCCTCGTTTGTAGTTGACCAGGCTCGGCAGGCTTGTGAGCCGAGCCAGTCTCGAATTAATAGGGGTGTTTTAGAGGTTTTCTAATGTATGGGGGATTGAACTGATATTTTTAACAAAAAAAAAAAAACCCAATGTTAAAATCCCTAAATCGCGACTCAAACCCATTCGGCGACGAATCCAAAGGAAATAAGAATATTTCAGGCAAGTAGAAACTCGGCACTGGTGTGTTTCCTCATCACTGTTTCTCCCATCTGCATCACCGTCGTGGTGTCGCAGACCGGCAACATCAAACCCATCCACCCCTTCAAATCTTACTGGCGTTTTTCGCACTTCGCAATGTGTTTTGCGACTTGCTGTGAATGCCATCTGCAAGTATGTTTCTTTGGTCTTTTAAATGATTGTTAATTTGTTGTGTATGATTGATTTAGTATTCAGCTTTGAGGTTTAGGTGGGATGCTTGGATAGTTGGATTTTTATTTCATCTATTATGTTCTGTTTCAGGTGAGGTATTTTGGTGAATGTCTGATGGATTTTTAGTTCATCTATTCCCTTCTTCAAGTTTCTAGACTCTAGTAATGCGTCCACCATATCCATCTTCAAGGTAATGTGTAGACTGCAGTATTGCAGTGTTGAGTGCATCCAACCTTTGTGTAACTGAGTTTTTTTGTTTGTTTGCTTTTAACTTTTAAGTCCTAATTAATAAGCACATGGCAAGTACTAGAGAGTGGAGAGTGGTTCGAGTGGAGACTAAAACTAAATGGGAAGTTGCTTTATATTAATTGATGGACGATGGTGTTTTGTGTAATGTTCTGGTCTGTGGATTGTGGTCTCTGGTCTGTGGCATTTTCCTTTATATTAATTGATGGTGTTTTGTGTAACAGACTTTGATTATAGAAGTTAATTATATGATATAATTTATATTTTCATTAGCAGACTTTGCTTTATATTAATTGATGGTGTTTTGTGTTTTTTCTCCCATTTTTAATGGGGATTCACTAGAAATTACAAATTTTAGTTGTTTAAAAGATTAGTGGCAGATAAAGACTACTGTGACATTTTGCTTTATGTAGAATTAATTGATGGCAAGACAAAGACAAAGATTAGTTGGTTATTAATGACCTAAGTCAAACACTAACTTTAATTGATGGGAAGTAGAAAGTTGAGACAACAATGAATTTAATTGAAGTGATAAATAAAAGAATAGAGAAGAGTGCAGCGGTCATGTGCAGATTGTGTCATGGTTCAATATTTGTGCACTGCAGTTTTCTTTATATTTTAGTATCCACAATACTTCATATCGGTTTTACATTAAATTGCAGATTTTTTTTTTGCATATATAGGTTTGTAATTGGACGGAAGTTCCTCAAGAACCCCTACGGCTACAATGCAAGATACAATTACTACTACACAGGGCGGTAAGCCTAACTTGAATGCGACCACAACAAATACAGAATAAAGTATTAGTAGCCCGGATAATGGTGACGAGAATGAGAATCCAATTCAAAAGAAAAAAAAGGGCTAAGACATCAGTGGTATGGACGGAGTTTAAGGAGGTGGTACTCCCTAATGGTAACAAAAAGGCAGAGTATATCCATTGCAAATTAAAATTGGGTATTAATGCCACCGGAAGCACGACCCAATTTAATAGACATTTAAAACGATGTTCAGAGAGAAAAGCTTCCATGAGGCAACAACATATTAGTTTTCTGACTACTAGTACTGATGTTGCAACTACTGTTTTGCTAGCTCTGAGTGGGAAGTTCGACATGATGAAGATGAGGGAACTTATCGCCCATTGGGTGCTCATGCATGAGCATCCATTTATGGTTGTGGAGGAAGAGGGCTTAAGTAACATGATGAAGTATGAGATTCTTGAATGGACTCCGGTTTCCCGCCATACTTGTAAAAAAGATTGTATGAAGGTATATGAAAGTGAGAAGGTGAAATTGAAGACTTTGTTGAAGAGTGTGACAAAGATTAGTTTGACTACGAACTTATGGAATTTAGGGAATTAGAAGATGGAGTATATGGTGTTGACCGGGCATTGGATAGATAGTACTTGGAGGCTGAATAGACGTATCCTGAATTTTGTTCATCTACCTCCTCCCCGAACTGGTATTGCGATTGTTGACTCCATTTTCAAGTGCCTAATGGAATGGGGAATTGAAAATAAGGTATACACTATCTCCGTGGATAATGCTTTGAGTAATGAAGTTGCGATTAAAGTTATGAGAGAGAATTTTGAAGTTTTGGGGAAACTCTTTTGTGGAGGTAAACTGTTTCATGTAAGATGTTGTGCACACATCTTGAACCTCATTGTTCAAGATGAACTTTATCAAATTAGGCACATCATTGATGACATCCATGAGAGCGTGTTGTATATCAACGCTTCAGAAAGTAGGCTTAAGGTATTTTCTAAGATTGTTCAACAACTTAAATTGCCGTTTCGGAAACTTATTCTCCATTGCAAAACAAGGTGGAATTCTACGTATGAAATGTTGGCAATGACAATTAAGTTCAAAAAAGCTTTTCCAAGATTGAAAGAGAGGGATACAGGTTATCATTATAATCTAAGCGAGGAGGTTTGGGAGAAAGCAGAGAAAGTCTGCCACATTTTATAGGTTTCAGTGGTTCAACCAAACTCATTTCAGGGAGTGATTATCCGATGACGAATTTATTTTTGAAGGAGGTGTGTTTAGTGAAATGTATGTTAGATAGTAAGAGTGAATCTGAAGATAAGTTTATTAGAATAATGGTTAGGAAAATGAAGGAAAAGTTCGATAAATATTAGGGAGAATGTTATGTGTTGATGTCTGTGGCTGCTGTGTTTGATCCCTAGTTGAAAATGAGGGTTATTCAGTGGGCATTCCATAAGATGTTTTCTGAGGTAGAAGCGCGAGCAAATACTATAACGGTCCAGGATGCATTAGATGAGCTATATGGGGAGTATGTTCAAGCTAATCAAGCTGTGACTATCACCTGCGCTTCTACATCAAAAGGGGATAGACATGGAGCTATTGGTGATGTGGCAACGGTTGAGGGAGCCCAAGGTTGGGATGATTTTAGTAGTTTTCTGGATGTGGTTGAAACTAGTGAGCCCAATAAGTCTGAGTTGGACTGTTATTTGGGAGAGGGATGCCATAAGTGTGTGGGGGATCGTGACACATTCGATGCCTTACAGTGGTGGAAGGCAAATATAACCAAGTTTCCTATATTGTCTATGGTGGCTCATGAGATACTAGCCATCCCGATCACTACGGTTGTTTCAGAATTTGCATTCAGTGCTGGGAGTAGGGTTATTGACAGTTACCGAGCTTCTTTGTCTCTCGATACGGTGAAGATGCTCTTATGTGGATGTGACTGGTGTCGCACTTTGAATGGGGTGAAGAAAGGGTGCAAAGTAGGTTCAATTGATTATATTTTTTGTTTAATTCAATATTTAAACTTACTTTATTCTAACATAAAGTTTATTTTTATTTCTTTTTCATTTCAGAAAGAAGAGGATCACTTAGAGATTCAGCTTCCTATCTTGCCAGGTTATGGGAGTCAGTCGATTGTTTGATTCACCCGTGAGACATTGGCTGTGGCAGTAGGATTGTGCAGGTATTTATTTATTAATTATATGTTTGGGTTTGCATTTTCCTCTTTGCGATTTATATACAATAACAGTTGTACTTATGTATTTCACTTTAATTTGTTTACAGGAGGAGTGGGGCTATAATGGACATACAGCCAATTTTATTTTGACTTATGAGGATTTGGTGGTTTATACATTTTATTTTGCTATTATATATATATTTTGATGTTTGGGGATGTAATTTGATGTATAGTTATGCTAACCCCCCACTTTTATTTTGATGAAAACTTAATTAAGTTAAGTGAACTAACCAAAAAACTTTAGTTCACTTTACTTAATTTGTCATTCATACTTAACATAAGTGGTACGTTAGCTTGAAAATGATTAATAGCAATAGCATTTTCTTTTGATGTTTATTTTTTAAAGATTTTTAGTTGTTGTGTAATGTATCTGGACATGAAATGGGTTGAATTGCATGAAATTTGGGCTTAATTTAAAAAAAAAAAAAAAACTACAATTTTTGGCTGGCTCGCACGCCAGGCTCGAATTTGACTTTCCCCTTCAATGAGTAGAGCCGAGCCAAGAGTACAGTGACTCAGCTCGGCTTGGCTCAAGCTCGTTTTCTCTTCCCTTTCACGAGCCAAGCTCATTAAGCCAGAAACTCGACTCGGCTCGTGAACAGCTCTAGCCACTTCTCATCATAGTGTAACATAGACCTTTTTCCTTCATTCCTCCATTTGAGCAGGTGAGATTTTCTGAAAGTAAATTTGGATTTAGATTTAGCTGGAGGTGGACCTAATATAAAAGGTTGTTCCACTGGTTTCAGACCAGCCAGCCTTTACCATTCAATAATTCTCCTTCCCATTTTCATCCCTGCATAATACTCATGAATTTTTTCCAATCTAAGAGTATGAGTTAGATTTTGTGGGTTTAACATTTAGATGGGTAGACAAATCAATCCACTTAGAAAACAACTCAACCTATGATTATCCAATAATCCCCTAAGGCGATTTGAAATATATTCAAACTGGGCTTTGTATTGCACCATTGTGGTGGTTTGTTTCAAGTTTGTCAATGCTTCCATAAGGATCATCGTAAGGCATATTACCAAAAGGAACAAGTAAAGCCCTCATAAAAGCATCCCATCCCTAGTTAGTAAATTTGCGTATAAAATATGAATTATCGTATTTTATCAGTGTAACCGAATAATACGCGAATTTTATATCCCAACCGTGTAATTCGCGTATAATTTGGCTGAATTTTTTAAAACAAAAAAGCATTATTTAAGAAGGGACAAAGACGAAGTTTTTTTTTTTTTTAATTCCCAAGTGCCAGTGTCATTAATTAGTCAACAAATTTGATGGCTGGAGTGGGACATACTTTGGCATAGGGCCGCACAATTGTAGAAGAGTCAACAAATTTACTCGTTACTGGGTAGCTAAAATAATTTATGACCATTGAAAGTGGTTTGGGGGTGGCAACTTTTGATATAAGGGAAAACATAGATTTGGTTAATATTCACAATAGTATTTAAAATTGTAGGAAATACATTATTTAATGAGTTAAAATTTAGGTGGACTGGCTCCTAATAACACTTGCAAAACTTTAACCTGACCAAATTTATGGCCCAATAGGAGAGGAGATTGAGAAATTAGATTGCATAGATACAATTATATATTATGTATTTGTGTTATATTATTAGGTCTAATGATTATTAGTTAATTGAACACTTTGTATTTGAAATGTTATATTGATTTTAACAAGATGATCCATGAAAAGTTCTAAAATCAGGATTAATATTACCGTATTTTTTAAAACGTATTATTGATAATGTATCGTATTAAACCCGTATTGTATTTTTTCTGTATCCGAATTTTATGGCCGAATTTTTACAAACGTATTTTTCACCATTTGCTGTATCATACCCGTAAAATTCCCGTACCTTTTTTTTCCCATACCCGTTTTTACTAACTAGGATCCCAACTAGGGGTGTTAGCTGAGTTGAGCCGCGCGTGAGCAGCTTGGGCTCAACTCGGCTCAGTAGGTGAGTCGAGTTCAAACTCCCCAATACTCGACTTGCAAAGCCGAGCTCGACATATAATATATTATAAATTTTATATCCCTAGATAAAATAGAGAAACATGGTAAGAGAATAAGATGCAACACATGAGAAGCATTCTCCATGAAAAAATATCAAAAGATGGGGGGACCCAGAATTGAAAAGTAAGAGTCTCCCCTTTTCTCTTGTCTATCTTATCCTCCCTCTTCTTCATCTTTCTCCATACCCAGAATTGAAAAGTAAGATTCTCCCGTTATCTCTTCTCTCTCTTGTCCCCCCTCTTCTTCATCTTTCTCTAGTTTTCCTCCTTCCTTTCTTTCTTTTTCTTTTTTCTCATCTTCCTTTCTTTCTTTTTTTGTTTTCTCTCCTGTCATTCTTTCTTCTCTCATTTTTCTCCCTTTTTCATTTTTTTTCTTGGTTTACCATGGCTACCATGCCGAACTATCATATTTTCTTTTAGATTTTTTTGACCAGCTCAAGCTCAAAAGCTTGATTAATCGAGCTCGAGTATCCCTTTAAGTTATTGAGTTTGAGTTCGAACTCCATTCCTTAGGCTCGACCAGGCTCGAGCTCAAACTTGAACTCGGTACTATAGCATTCGAGTAGAGTTTGAATAGTCAGATACTCGACTTGGTTTGGCTCAACTTGATTTCACCCCTAATCCCAATCGATAAAAACTCCCTTTTCCTTAGCATCTTGAAACCACACTAATTGGGGGTGTGGCAAATAACCAATCGGAACCAAAATCAGCAAGTACCCGGGGTTCGGTTCTAGTTCCTACATGGAACCAACAGTCATAGGGTAGGTTCTAGTTCCAAAACTCTGGAACCAACACTGTGAGGTTCTGGGACTAATATGAAATAACATTAGAGAGTGGGGGGTTCTTGTAATTTTGCTGTCATATAAAAAATTCAATCAGATTTTAGTGAAAAAAATTTCTATCGTTTCTCTCCATCGTTGTTGCTCTCTCTTAGTTGAAAAACTTGACATCGTTGAATCTCTAGTGCTACCAATTTGAATCGTCGAACACTATTCTCTCACCGTCTAGTCTTTTCATTATCTCCGATTAGGTATTTTCAAAATTTAAAATCTTTTTGAGTTAGGGTTTTCTATTTCAATTTCAATTATAAATCTTTTTGATTTAGGGTTTTCAATTTTAATAAAATTTTGTTCTAACATTAGATTATACTAAATTGCTATTATGCTTTGATTTTTTTGGTGACATCAGAGGAGCGGTTGAAGAAAATTGAACAAGATAATGGCTTGACTTGATATTCTTCTTGTTAGAGTATGTGCCCTAGAGCCAATCAATTATTGTAAAATTGACTCCGTAATAAATGTTTATTTATCAATAAAAGGCATATTCTTCTATATCGTGT